AAGGCAACTGATTTTAAATCCAGTTCTTGTGTAATTTGGCACATCTCTGTCTTTTCCTGTTTCCTTTCCTTAAGAATAATGGCTTCTTGACAGCCACTCTTCACTGAGACAGACTGATGAACCAAAGGCCAGATGCATCTCTAAGGTCCTGTGTCAGGTCTTTGTTGGATTATTTCCTATTTCTGTAAATCATGACTTTCATGTACTGTTCATCTGCTGTAAATAGCATTTAGGCCTGCCACTTCTTCTCTTGCCCTCCACTTGTCTAGTTTCATCAAACTTTTCAAGGAAACACTGCACAGCATGCTCAGATTAGACCAAGTTTTAGGCTTTTTGTAAAAATGTACGGTTTATTGGAGCAAAAATACTGTTTTACGTCTGTCAAACATTTTTTATAGATTCAACTAAAGAAAACGTGTTTTTTCAACTGGCTGCTAGCAAAGTAATTCAGTTTAAAATGGGTTCTTTGCTATGTTGTCTGCTATGTGTAGACACAACACTCTCTCCTCCTTTGAATTGGGTTCTTTTTCATGATTGAATGATTCATAGGTCAGTGTTAAGTGGTTTTACAAACAAAACATTCCTCTGAAAAGGTCCGGTACAAGGACTGGACTGAAAATAAGTGCTGATTAAAGACTGAAAGGCCTTTAGAAAGCCTGCAGAACAGTTGCTCAGGACCACTTTTTAAAAATTACAAGAAACTCTGGGACAGTACAGTATACAGTAAACACTAGCGTGCTACTGCCAAGTTTCAAGATGATCAAACAGATGTAACTACAATGTGGCTTTGAACTCAGATTATCTAATAAAGTATTTTAGAATTCTTCTTTGAAAGTTGAGAATGCACATGTAGATGTAGAGTGCATTCATGCACCGGGCCAACGCAATTTTAAAATATCAAAAAGTAAAATATCAAACAAAAGTTAGATTCCGTTCTTTTCGCCTCTCAGCTGCCTGTGTCAGTGTTATGGTCCCTCTGCGGTCACATGAAGGAGTCTGCGCGTTCTTTTATAAACACACCCCTGCAAATAGAAGGCTTCACTAAAATCCTTTGCTTCACCACATCCTTTGCTTATTTTGTAGTGGTGATATTGTGTGTGCACGGCAACATGAACTCAGGCACTCTGATATGCACTTTTCAAGTAAGGTCAAAATTCGCTCACATGCATATACTACACAGCGCTCGCCTCAGCCCCCTCGCATCAGGTCTTTGCAGGTCTCTGCTTGAAGGTGCAAAGCGGTCCAAAATCAATATCCCCATTTTTCATCTTGTTTTGTAACATTCGCCATTTGTTATTCTATAATCTTGATCTCTTTCCTCTTTTTTTCCTCTAGTTGGATTTTTCATGACAGGCAGATTAGGGTATGTAATCCCCGTGCTGTATGCCACATGACATCGCCCTGCTGTTCAGCCACAGAAGCTTGTACTGCCCACCGATTCGATGGAGGTGATGCTGTGATAGTGTCGTGAGCAGGATGTGGTGTCACTGATATCAATGAGTCAAATTCAGCAAAAAAGCAAAAGATGGTGTCATCGCATAATCCAACTTGCCAGTAAAGAGCTTCATATTTCAGTTCTGAAAATTATCCTCTCCTTTTGAAAGCATTAAGACTGACTACTTGCTCTGGATGAAGTAGCATACTTTTTATGATAGCAA